GACCAACCAGGGCTACAAAGTCTGTCTCAAATAAAAATAAAGTAAGAAGAATATCTGGGCAAAACAATCTAGGAAGGTTAATTTTGCTTTATTAAATAACAATATTTACCAGGAAACTGAAATAATTTAGGGAGCGTGATAGTGGTTCAGGGACAAAGGTTAATCAACAGCAAAGAGAGTCTATAATGAGACCTATGCACACAATGTGACTAATAGTGTTAATTTTACTAAATTAAGTAATACTTAGTCCAGAACATTAGTGAGGTACATCTCTTGGTTGTGGTTATGAGGGTGACTCCAGAGATGTTTAACCAAGAAGGGAAGACCCATCCTGAATGTGAGTGGCACTGCCCATGGGCTGGGGTCCAGACTAATTAAAAAGGGAAAAAGCAGCCAGCAGAATGCTGACATTTCCCTTTTTTTTTTTTTTTTGTTTCCTGATCTACCCGGATGTGAGCAAACAGCCTCCAGCTACCAGGATGGATTGCATCCCCAACCTGTGAGCTAAAATAAACCTTTCATCCCTTAAGTTGCTTATTGCCATGTATTTGAGCACAGCAATGAGAAAGTAACTAAACTAGGAGCTTTGATGTATGACAGAAGTGGCGTTAGGTTATCCATGTGGAAAATGATGAAACTAGCTCCCTACCTTATACCGCACCAAAAAATCAATTCCACTTGGATTAAATACAAAAGGCAAACTTTTTATTAGAAAAAATAATAAATATATATGTATGATTATGGTCCAAGGAACTCTAGAAAACTGCCGGCTACAACAGAGAAAAGACTGATTCATTCAACTCCTTTAAGAAAAGAATTTCTGGGGCTGAGGGTAGAGTATTTGCCTAGCACTGTGGAGGTTACAGAGCTCTGGCTTCGCTCCTCAGCATCACAGGGAAAAAAATCTGCTCATGGAAAGACACAATGAAGCAAAAAGCCACAAATGCAGAGTATGTTGGCTAGTTCTATGTCAACTTGGCACAGGCTAGAGTCATTTGAGAGATGGGAGCCTTGATTGAGAAAATGTCTCCATAAGCTTAGGCTGCAGGCATGGTTCATGGTGTTTCACTGCAGCAATAGTAACCCTAACCAAGACAGAGAGAAAAGATCTGACACAACCCGACATATTATGAGAATCCAAAACAAAAAAATTCCTTCAAATCAACAAAATTATTTTAAAGATTCAAACATGATCAATAACCAGGAAAAGATAATCAGCTATATAGATAACTAGGATGCTGAGTCTATATTAAAATATCATTTTACGCCAGGTGGTGGTGGCGCATGCCTTTAATCCGAGCACTTGGGAGGCAGAGCCAGGTGGATCTCTGTGAGTTCGAGGCCAGCCTGGTCTACAGAGCGAGATCCAGAACAGGCACCAAAACTACACAGAGAAACTCTTGTCTCGAAAAACAAAAACAAAAACAAAAACAAAAACAAAAACAATCTATCTATCTATCTATCTATCTCTATACCTATATATATATCGGGGCTGGAGAGATGGCTCAGTGGTTAAGAGCATTGGCAGCTCTTCTAGAGGTCCTGAGTTCAATTCCCAGCAACCACGTGGTGGCTCACAGTCATCTATAATGGGATCTTGATGCCCTCTTCTGGCACGCAGGTGTACATGCAGATAGAGCACCATATACATAAAATAAATAAGTATTAATAAATTATTAATATTAAATTATTCTTAAAAAGAATGTTTTAAAAATATATATATAATATATATTTATCATTTTACACTATATTGACAAAATAGGTGGGATTATATCAAGTAGATGAGGTTATGGATCAACAGGATCTTTCATTCATTGCAAAAGAGCATAATTTGTATTATCTTTTAGAATATGGTTTGATAGATTCCTGTGAGGCTAAACTTTCATATATCTTATTAGCTAGCAACTCCATTCCTAGGTATATACTTATACCTAGGTATATGGGAAGCTGTGTATGGGAAGCAGAGACATGCACAAGAACGAAAGCAGTGCTGTTCATAAGAGCAAAAAGCTGGAAAGGACCCAAATGTCCATCAACAGAAACATGGGTTATTTGTTTTATGATCACCTGAAATGCTACACTACACATCATTGATAATGAACTACAACCATATGAATCAAAAGATGTGACTCTCAGGAACATAATAGTGATGAAAAAGTAAGTTACAGAAAACCATATACAATATTGTTCTGTAGCTATTTCCTCTGAATTGAAACATTCTCTGGAAGGGAGAAGGCAGATGTTTAAGACTCAAGATGCAAAAGAGATTTCCAAGGCCCAGCAAGTTCACAAGATCTCTTAGCAAGTTTATAAAAGCAGTAAGAAATTAATGGGGAGTTGAGACTCTCAGTGGGGGCTTCATATAGGACAGGCTAAGAGCTCCAGGGATGCAGCTTTTGTGAGCTGGCGTGGGTATTTCAGGGAAGCAGCTTGTTTTCAATCTCCCATGTTCCTATAAGTAACTCTAATACACTCACTGGCTCATATGATGGTTAATACTGTCAACTTGACAGGATCTAGAATATTGAAGAACGAGCCTTCGGGAATGTCTGTGAGGGATTATCTAGATTAGGATTAACTGGGATGGAAAGCTTCACCCAAAATGTGTGTGATACCATTCTATACACTGGGGTCTGAGACGGAATAAAAAAGGAGAAAGCTGAGTGCATTTATTCATCACCATTTGCTTCTGACCGTGAACACAATGTGAACAACTGCCTCAGGCTCCTGCTGCCATGACCTTCCCACCATGATGGACTGTCCCCTCCAACTGTGTGTCAATCAATACAAACCCGCTGACTACTGAAGAAGAGGGGCAGAGAGATTGTAAGGAGCAGAGGTCAGGTCAAACAATGTCTTCTGGATACCACAGGACTTCTGCACTCATAAAGTCATAGCAGCTCTGCTTGCCTGTGCAAGACCAAGCCAGTCAACACTCCAGCATGGGAGGAGGAAGGTTCAAGAGCCCCCACATCTGATGGAGGAGCTACTGACAGTTGATGGCTTCCGGAGGAAAGACGGTTTTCTTTAAGGATGTGGCCCCCTGGCTAGGCTGACCATATTCTAATGGCCATTAGAATATAACTGTGTGTATATGGGCAGTATAAATTGGAATCTGTGCGATATTAAAAATAGAGGACACGGAGTTGGATGGGGATGGATATGGGAAAAGTTAGGAGGAGGGGTGGTGGGTGAAAATGATTGAAATGCATTGTATGTGGGGCAGGTGTGGTTGCACACACCTTTTAATCCCAGCATGCAGGAAGCAGCAGCAGGTGGGTCTCTATGAGTTCCATCCAGGCAAGCCTGGTCTACTTGGTGAGTTCCATACCAGCCAAGGCTACATGAGATCCTCTCTCAAATAAATAAATGAATAAGTAAAAAAATAAAAAAGAGAAAGACACACACCCCCTAACCACCGTATGCATGTATGAAACCCTAAACAAATTAATAAAAATACTCTCTTTCACAAAAATAAACCTTCCCATGGGTTGCATTCATTGCAGCAATGTCATAACACAGAAGACTGATAGGGAGAAGCGAGGCCAGTACCCATTCTGAGCTGGCGGCAGAATTTGATACAAGGCCAGTACCCATTCTGAGCTGGCGGCAGAATTTGATACGAGTCATTCGCATGGTACTGGTTTTGAAGGCATGAAAGATGCAGGATTGAGGGGGGTCATGGAGTCTTGCACTGTGGTTCCGGACTGCCCTGAGGCCAGACAATGTATGGGTTTGAGTCCCTGAAAGGCATAAGAGGCCACTGTGTAAAGCTGTGAAGGTGAAGCCTAAATTGTGATGGAGAGCCCCAAATCCTGGAGATGGTAGAACCATGGCAGGTGTGCAGGCATAGAAATGAGTCATTCCAAAAGGCTATGTGTACTGCAGGAAGCAGAGATGGAGGGGTGGGGATACCCAAGACCTCATGAGTTCCAGGTGCCCAACACAGAACTACAGGAGTTTGCGCTTCCATACTGAATTTCGTTTTTACTTTAGTCCAATCATTCCTTGCTATGCCATCATTCTTTCCTTTGGGAATGGGAGTGTTTATTCTGTGCCATTATGTACTAGAAATATGTAACTTGGTTCTTATTTTTATAGGAACTTACATCACATCTAAGAGATTGCCTTGAACCTGAGATGAGATGCAGACTAAACTTTTTTGTTTGTTTGTTTTTTTCAAGACAAGGTTTCTCTATATAACAGTCCTGGCTGTCCTGGAACTCACAGAGATCTGCCTGCCTTTGGCTCCCAGTGCTGGGATTAAAGGCGTGTGCCACCACCACCTGGCTAGACTTTTTAAAAGTGTTGAAACTGTTAAAGACAATGCAGACTTTGAATACATTTTGCATTGTGAGATGTCCACAACACTTTAGGGACGAGGGGTGGAAAATTAGTTTGAAAGTGATAATGTTTGGGTGTCAAGTTGACAAGGGATGGAGTTGTGATGATTAATTGTCAACTTGACCAGATGGGGAGTCACTGAACAGACAAGTCTGGGCAAATCTGTTCAGGATTATCTAGATTAAGATAACTGAGGTGAGAAGACCCACCCTAAATGTGGGTGGCACCATGGTAACGGGCTAGGTCCTGAACGACATAGTCCTGAACTACATAAATCCAAGCTCTTGCTGCCATACTTTCCTCTCCATGATTGTGCTGGTTAGTTTGTTAACTTGATATAAACTAGAGACATCTGGCAAGAGGGAATCTCCATTGAGAAAAAGCCTCCATAAGATCAGGCTGTAGGCAGGTCTGTAGGGTATTTTCTTAACTAGTGATTAACTCGGTCCTGAGTTGTATGGAAAGTAGTTTGTTGATCTCTTCATTGTGTCTAGTTGTGTTTTCTGTAATGGTCTCCATGTGTTGCAAAAAGAAGTAGGTAGCATCAGTCATGATTTTTCTCTTGTTGAGGGGGGCCTTAAGTCCAATTAGACAGCTGTTGTCTAATTACCACCAAGATATGAATACCACTATTGGCCCTTTAGGGATAATCTTACCATTGTTAGTAGTTTTGTGGTTCAAAGGCACCACAGCTGTATAGGAGTAGTGACTGCTTCCCTCCCTTGACAGCTTGCATAGTACTTTCTGGTACTATGGAAGCTAGACCACAGGAATGAGGCTTTCAGGTTAGATCCAACTCAAATAATCCAAGTCTTGTCTCTAAGTGTGTGGTTTCTTCGGCAATATGAACTTATCTTCAACCTCTGGGAGGCACCTAAGGGCAACAGCAATAGTCAATATGGTTTGTGGAGTCACTTGGACTACCCTGACAAACACCTGCAAAAGAGGATTTTCATGCCTAGCATTGGGGTTTTGTTAGGTAGTCTATTACTCTTGTGGGGAGCACTGTCAGTCAAAGAGGCATAACTTGTTTAGGCATATATATATATATATATCCATCCTATGGCAGTGGTGGTGCACACCTTTATATAATATAAACATATAATAATTTCTGAAGGTTTTATCAAATAATCTTGGCTTTATTTCTCTCTTCCCTTTTTTCTGTATTGACCTTTCTCCCCCTCCCCAATTAGAGCGCCCCCTCCCCATTTCCCATTTCATTTCACCTATATCCTGCTATTCCCCACATATCCCCCTTACCCCATGGTTTCTTGACAGTTTCTCAGTTTCTTTGGTTATTCCAGGTCATACACTCACATCTGAAGATTTGGAGCTAGGAATGGCAGACAAGAGAGAATATGTGGTACTTATCTTTGTGGGTCTGGGCTACTTCACTCAATATAATCTTTTCAAGTTCCATCCATTTACCTGAAAATTTCATGATTTCATTTTTCTGGACACAATGTAGAGATCAAGGGATCATAGGGAACCCAGCCACAATGAATACATCCTTAACACAACTCCTGCAACTAAGGTTCAGGGAACATTTACAGTAGAGGGGGCAAAAAGATTACAGGAGCCAAAGATCAGTACGTCTGCTGTGAGACTCTGTCTCTTAAAAATGGCTGTCCAGCCGGGCGGTGGTGGCGCACGCCTTTAATCCCAGCACTCGGGAGGCAGAGCCAGGCGGATCTCTGTGAGTTCGAGGCCAGCCTGGTCTCCAGAGTGAGTTCCGGGAAAGGCGCAAAGCTACGCAGAGAAACCCTGTCTCGAAAAACCAAAAAAAAAAAAAAAAAAAAAAGGCTGTCCAGCCTGGCAGTGGTGCTGCACGCCTTTAATCCCAGCACTCGGGAGGCAGAGGCAGAGGGATCTCTGTGAGTTCGAGGCCAGCCTAGTCTACAGAGTGAGTTCCAGGTCAGCCAGGACTGTTACACAGAAAAACTCTGTCTCGACAAACAAAAACAAAAACAAAACAAAAATAAATGGCTGTCTAAATAAGACCTGAACAATAACAATATTAATAGACATGCTAACAGGGAAGGGGGTAAAACCTCATAGAGTCACTCCTAGACAAAAAACTACAGGGAGCCAGGCGGTGGTGGCGCACGCCTTTAATCCCAGCACTCGGGAGGCAAAGGCAGGCGGATCTCTGTGAGTTCAAGGCCAGCCTGGTCTACAAAGTGAGTTCCAGGAAGGGCGCAAAACTACAGAGAAACCCTGTCTCGAAAAACCAAAAAAAAAAAAAAAAAAAAAAAACTACAGGGAACTAATGACTGCTGATAGAGGGAAAAAATAGCCTCTCCCAGGGATGAGCCCTCTATCTGGTTATATAATACAAAGTGGTCAGTCCTGAAATCACGTACACACACACACACACACACACACACAGAGCAAAAACGAACTCAGCGGGCTGTATTTAACCTATTTGTACATGTATATATATAATAACAATAAAGAAAAAGGAGCCATCAATTTGAGAGGGAGATGGGTTGGGGGAAGGGAGGGATTGCAGGGAGGAAAGGGGAAAGGAAGGGGGAAATAATGTAATTATATTTTAGTTAAAAATATATTAAAGTTAAAAAGTTTAAAAGAAGGAAATGAAAAAAAAGCAGGCTGAGCAAGCTATGGAAACAAGCCATTAAGCAGCATCCTTCATGGCCTCTGCTGCGATTTCTGCTTCCAGGTTCCCGCTTTGAGTTCTGTGCTGACTTCCCTTCATGAGAAACTAGAAGCTGTAATGTGAAATAAACCCTTTCCTCCCCAACTTCTTTTGGTCGTGGTGTTTCCCACAGCAATCGAAAGCGAACTGAGACAATGACCGAAAGTGAACTAAGACAATGATAGGCTCTACTCAAACTGCGTATCAAAATAAGCCCTTCCTTCCCAAAGGCTTTGTCAGGATTTTGTCATGGCAAGGAGACAAGTGACTCCAGGTCATCAAGCTAGACTTGGGTGGAACAGTTTCTTTAGCTCACTGTCAGTGTCCTATCTGGGATGAAAAGACATTTGTTCATGTCTCTCCAAGGAAAAGGTCACACCACTATGATACTATTTTCCAAAAGTTTGCAACCAAGTCAGATAAGCAATGTATTCATTAAACAGTCCCACAAATTTGAAAAAAAATTCCACATGTCCAAAACAGCACAATAATGTTAAACACAAATTTAGGGGTGGCAACTTGTTTTCTGTTTGTTTGGTTTTGTTTTTAAAGGCATATCCCATCGCCACCTGGCTTAATGATTTATTATTATTTTAATATAAATGATTTATTTATTTTTATTTTATGTGTATTGGTGTTTTGCCTGCACGTATGTCTATGTGAGAGTGTTGGATCCCCTGGAACTGGAGTTACAGACAGTTATGAGCTGCTTTGTGGGTGCTCAGGATAGAACCCGGGTCCTCTGGAAGAGCAACCTGTTTTTTTTTTTTTAATTTTATTTTATAATTTAATTTAATTTTACATATCAGCCATGGATTCCCTTGTTCTCCCCACTCCCGCCCCCTCCCCCCACCTTCCCCCTAGCCCACCCCCCACTCCCATCTCCTCCAGGGCAAAGACTCCCCTGAGGATTGAGTTCAACCTGGTAGATTCAGTCCAGGCAGGTCCAGTCCCCTCCTCCCAGGCTAAGCCAAGTGTCCCTGTATAAACCCCAGGTTTCAAACAGCCAACTCATGCAATGAGCACAGGACCCGGTCCCACTGCCTGGATGCCTCCCAAACAGATCAAGCTAATCAACTGTCTCACTTATCCAGAGGGCCTGATCCAGTTGGGGGCTCCTCAGCCACTGGTTCATAGTTCATGTGTTTCCATTCGTTTGGCTATTTGTCCCTGTGCTTTTTCCAATCTTGGTCTCAACAGTTCTCGCTCATACAAACCCCCCTCTTTCTCACCAATTGGACTCCTGGAGCTCCACCTGGGGCCTGGCCGTGGATCTCTGCATCCGGTTCCCTCAGTCATTGGATGGGGTTTCTAGCACGACAATTAGGGTGTTTGGCCATCCCATCACCAGAGTAGGTCAGTTTGGGCTGTCTCTTGACCATTGCCAGTAGTCTATTGTGGGGGTATCTTTGTGGATTTCTGTGGGCCTCTCTAGCACTTTGCTTCTTCCTATTCTCATGTGGTCTTCATTTACCATGGTCTCCTATTCCTTGTTCTCCCTCTCTGTTCTTGATCCAGCTGGGATCTCCTGCTCCCCCAAGCTCTCTTTCCCTCGACCCTCACCCTTCATTACCCCCACTCATATCCAGGTTGTTCATGTAGATCTCATCCATTTCTCTGTCATTGGGTGATCCCTGTGTCTTTCTTGGGGTCCTGTTTTCTAGGTAGCCTCCCTGGTGATGTGAGTAGCAGTCTAGTCATCTTTGTTTTACATCTAGTATCCTCCTATGAGTGAGTACATACTATGTTTGTCTTTCTGACTCTGGGTTACCTCACTCAGGATGATTTTTTCTAGATCCATCCATTTGCCTGCAAACCTCATGATGTCATTGTTTTTCTCTGCTGAGTAGTACTCCATTGTGTATATGTACATTTTATTTATCCATTCTTCAGTTGAAGGGCATCTAGGTTGTTTCCAGGTTCTGGCTATTACAAACAATGCTGCTATGAACATAGCTGAGCAAGTGCCCTTGTGGCATGATTGAGCATTCCTTGGGTATATGCCCAAGACTGGTATAGCTGGATCTTGGGGGAGATTGATTCCCAATTTTCTAAGAAAGCGCCATATTGATTTCCAAAGTGGTTGTACAAGCTTGCATTTGAGCAACCTGTTTTTAAGACAGGGTCTCACTATGTAGCCCTGGTTGGCCTGAAACTCACAGAGATCTACCCATCTGTGCCTCTCCAATGCTGGGATTAAAGACAAGTATCACCATGCCTGGCTAGGAGTGGCGATTTTGATGGGGCAGACAGGCAGGGACAGGGGACACATGGATAGATGCTATCATTAATGCCATTCTTTCATGGAGTGCTGGATTCTTGAGTTTTCAATAAGTTATGTTTATAATATATATTTTTTCATTTATTGAATATAATTTTAAATGTATTTTTAAAAGATTTACCTTTGGGGCTGAAGAGAAGGCTCAGTAGTTAAGAGTTCATACTGTTCTTCCAGAAGACCCCACAATTGCCTATAACTCCAGCTCCAGGGGATCGGATGCCGTCTTCTGGTCTCCACAGCACTACTCAGAAGCACAAACCCACATCCAGAAACACATACATATACATAAATAAATATTTATCTTTAGTTTTACTTATGTGTATGTGTGCATGTCTGTGAGTGTATGCCATGTGTGTACAGGTGTTCATAGAGGCCATAAGAGGGCACTGGACTCTGTCCTGGTTAGTTGACTCTGTCAACTTGACACAAGCTAGAGTCATTTGGGAAGAGAGAACCTCAATTGAGAAAATGCTCCCACCAGACTGGCCTATAGGCAAGCCTGTGGGGGAATTTTCTCTATTAATGATTGATGTGGGAGGGATCAGCTCCCTGTGGGCGCTGTCATCTTAGGGCTGGTGGTCCTGGGTGCTATAAGAAAATGGGCTGAGATGGGCGGTGGTGGCACTGGTGAGGCAGAGGCAGGCAGATCTCTGAGTTCGAGGCCAGTCTGGTCTACAGAGCGAGTTCCAGGACAGCCAGGGCTACAAGGAGAAACCCTGTCTTGAAATATTAAACAACAACAACAACAAAAACAAAAACCCAAAACAAACAAAAAAAGCTGAGCAAGCTATGAGGTGCAAGCCAGTAAGTAGCACTCGTCCACGGCCTCTGCATCAGCTCCTGCCTCTAGGCTCCTGCCCTGACTTCCTTCAGTGGTGGAGTAAAACACGAGAATTCTAAGATGTAAAACATCCTTTCCTCCCCGACTTGCTTTTGGTTATAGTGTTTTATGCCAGCAATAGAAACCCTGACTAAGACATAGCCCCTGGGGCTGGAGTTATTGGTGGTTGTGAGCTGCCTGATGAAGGTGCTTGGGACTGAACTCAACTCTGCAAGATCAGCAAAGGCTTTAACTACTGAGCCATCTCTTCAGTCCCCTACCTAATATACTCTATATTAACAAAAAGAACGGAAGACGAAAAGAGAAATTAAGGATGAAAATGCTTCAAAAGGTTTGCTGTCAAGATAATTAAAGGATTAAATCATAGTTGCATAGGGACATGGTATAGGGAGTGCTTTAAATTTTTTTTTTGAGCCAGACATGGTACAAGCCTGTAGTCCCTATTAATCAGGGAGCTGAGATAGGAAATCAGCAGCTTGTGGCCACCATGGCTATATTTTCAAGATTATGTTTCAAAAAGCAGAGGGCTATCTAGCCTGGAGGGATGACTTAGTTGTTAACAGCGCACACTCCTCTTACAGAAAATCTAAGTTTGATTCCCAGCACCTATGTTGGGTGGCTCCACAGGCACCAGTCCTCCTATGTACAGAGAGAGAGAGAGAGAGAGAGAGAGAGAGAGAGAGAGAGAGAGAGAGAGAGAGAGAGAGAGAGAGGTTTTTTTTTGTTGTTTTTTTTGAGACAGAGTTTCTCTGTGTAGCTTTGCGCCTTACCTGGAACTCACTTTGTAGACCAGGCTGGCCTCGAACTCACAGAGATCTGCCTGGCTCTGCTTCCCGAGTGCTGGGATTAAAGGCGTGTGCCACCACCGCCCGGCAATAAAAATAATTCTTAAAAACACCTGAGAGCTAGGGCTGATCATTTATCTATCATGTATAAGGCCCTGAATTCCATCATCAGCACCCACACATACACTCACACTTATACCCACACCCACCTGCACACACAAATATAACCACACCTCCAAAACCATTTTTTTAAAAACAGAATTAAGAAATCCATAGAATGGCTGAGAAAGGACTTCCGATGAATTCACTTTTTCCCTCCAGAACACTAAAAACATGAGCAAACCAACCAAATCATTTCAGAACTGTGGCAATTAGCCATAGTAACACAATGAAGTCAAAACTATCCAAGAGACTCCTGAATCTCGAGGAAACAGTAGGGTTTGTAGCACTGTAACTGTGGCTACCTTGGGAATTTAAAGGGAGAAAAGGGGTAGCCCAGGCTGGTCTCAAACTCAGAGATCTTACTGCCTCTGCCTCCAGAGTTCTGGGATTAAAGGCCACCAGACCTGACACAAAAAGGAAGCTTTGGAGACTGATACAACCAGAATTTTGAAAAGCTCTGACATATTACTAAGGATTTGATGGGCTGTAGACATACATACTCAAGGCCATGTGTATGCGCAGGAAAAACAGGCAAAGACTAAAGTCACTCACTTCTGACTAACTGTGAAGGCCCTGCACAAATAGAAAATGATAAACTATCTGAAATCTGTAGGTATGTTTTCATACACAGATCTTCACAATAAAAAGTGAAAAACATATAGGTAAATATTTAAGATTTTCTCAGCAATTATTGGCTGGTTACAAAATGTATTCACCTAGGCCTGATCCTTAGGAATCCAGGCTTAAAAATAAAAACGAGAACTTAAAAAATGTTAAAAGAAAACTCAGGAGCCACATAATATAGTACAGAGAATACAAAATCCATAGAATTAGTCCCCAGAATTCAATAAATTCAATAAATACCAAAAATAGTCACATGTAACAGCAGTAACATAAACCAAAACAAAATAAATCAGAACAAAATCTAGAGACTCCAGATGTCAGCAAGATGGCAGAGTGGGACTTTCTAGCATTTGTCCCCCTTACATGAAAATGCTATTATTCAAGCTAAGGAAAGCAGGTGGCAGGTTACAGTACCTGGTGTAGCAGAGAAAGAAGACGACACATTGAAGACACATGCAGTAAGGATGGTTCTCTATCACTCATCCCCCAAACCCAGTCACTAGCCTTGTTTTTTTTTTTAAAAGATTTATTTATTTATTATGTGTACAGTGTTCTGTCTGTATGTATCCCTGCAGGCCAGAAGAGGGCACCAGATCTCATTACAGATGGTTGTGAGCCACCATGTGGTTGCTGGGAATTGAACTCAGGACCTTTGGAAGAGCACGCAGTGCTCTTAACCTCTGAGCCATCTCTCCAGCCCTAGCCTTGTTTTTGACACCCAACTTGAGCTGATTCTAGTAAAGTCCCATTCTGGGCATCTAACACAGTCCCAAAGTCTAGGTCAGTACCTGATGATAGCCTCAAGGCCCATCTTGGCACCATAGTCCCCAAGGCTTCAGGCTACTGGTTCCTGATGGGTTCAGAACCAACCCAACACCAGGAGAACTCAAGTGGTCACAGGCTCCAGAATGGCCCAAGTATCAAACCTGTTTAAGTACCAGGTCAGACCTCACATGCTCAGGCTGTAAGCTTACTTCATAGCCAATCGTGCCCCAGTGAGCCTGGGTCCCACACTTCAGGCCCACTCCAGCAATAGGCCAGCCTTTGTAGTCTCAGGCCTGCCTCAACCTAAGGTCAGCACTCTTGGCTGTAGTTACCAAGCTGGTATCACAGACACACGTTCTAGGCCTGCCTAGTGATAGGCTGGCCCCTCTATCTCTATATTCTATAAGACCCATAGTCTAGCAGAATGAAGATCCAGGTATATCCCAGCAGACCTTGATGCTGGGCTGAACCCCACAGATCCATGGCCCATACTTGCCCCAGTACCAGGCCTACCCAAGATCTAAGCTAGCCCTCATGGTTTCAGGCTCCATGGAATTCAGATTCTAAGTCTTCTCCAGCATAGACAGGATCCATGCTTACCCCAGTATGCAGTGGTAGATGGCCAATCTCCGTAGATGCAAGCTGTAGGTCTTATAGATCCAGAATCTAGATCCCCAGCCCCATGGTTCAGATTGTAAGACTGTCCTAGTGCTAGGCTAGATCTCACTGACTTGGGATTTAGGCATAAGTCAACAGATCAGACACCATCTCAAATCCTGGCTAGCTTCTGAGGACTCAAGCTCAAGGCTCACCTAGTACCTAGTGGACTCTGTGGACCTAGACCTCAAGCTACTGCTTGAAGATACCCAGGGACATAAGCTCTAAGGCCTATTGCTTCAGACTCAATCAATAGATCAACGCTGTTGTAGGCAGGGTTCTAGGCCTAATAACACACACCCAGGCATGAGGCCCACCTACTGGTAATCCAGGTATCAGGAACAAACTTTGCCACACTAAGCTTGTCTATAGAACATACTGACCAGTGATGGGCTGCCACAGAAAAAGCCACTTTAGAAAGATGGAAATAAGGTCCCACTTCTTCAGATGTACAGACACGAAGGCACAGCCGCAGGGATCAAGAACAATCAGAGAAAGAGTGCTAAAGGAGCCAAGGAAAGCACCAGTAACCAACTGTAAAGAAGAGATTTAGGACCGGCTGAAAAGCGGTCAATGTAATTATTAAAAAGCTCATTGAGAGCCAATGAAAATACAGAGGAAAACAATTCAGTGTTAGCAAGACAACACTAAGTGGCCAAAAGGAAAAATTAACAAGGACACTGAAATTATTTTTTAAAAAAATCAAACAAAAATTGCAATGCAATCATTGAAGTGGAAAATGTAATACAGAGCATCAAAAGAACCCGAAAGAGGAAATAATCCGTGAACTCAAAGGCACTCTATTGAGAATATATAGTCAGAGTAGAATAAAAGAATGGAAATGAAGACGCATATGGGACATCAAAAGAGTGTAAATACAGGACAGAGAAGAGAAAGACAAAGGGACAGAGAACTGAAAGAAAGAAGAGAAAATGCTTTGACTTTTACAAAAGATGTAACTATCCAAGTATGGGAAAGTCCAAGAGATTCAATCGGATTCAATGCAAAGAGGACTTCAGAAAGACAGAGTTAACCATCAAAAACCAAGAACAAAGAACTCCGAAAGTGGCAAAAAAGAAGCAAGCAACACAGAGTTGCAATAAGGTTGGCATCAGATTCCTTGGCTGGGATCTTAGAGGCCAGGAAAGAGTGAGAGGGTCTAGTCAATCTGCTGAAGTAAACCAAACCAAATCTTCCCAGTCAAGAAGCTTGTACCTGGCAAAGCTGTTCTTCACAGATGAAGAGACACGAGACTTCACCAGACAAACAAAAGCTGAGGAAGTTAGTCATCCTCAACTGTCTCTTAAGAAATGCTAAAGGGAGTTCTTCAAGCTCATACCTTTACCATGACTATTAAGAGACAAAATACTAAAAAAATAGTGCAACAATTTAACAAGCATGCAATAA